CCCAGGAAAATCCACACGAAGCTTCTTGAGAGACTTCTTAAGAGATCTATCAGAGTAATTTTTAAATTTCGGCTTCGTTTTCGAGCAATGTCCGTCAACCTCGAATGATTTCCAAAAAAGTGGCATTTTCGCGTGGATCGTCGAACTTTGAGAGCAAACGGTTGAAAGAAACTATGCGCAACTCCGCCAAAAGATGGATCAGGATAGCTTCCAAAAAGTGTAGCATGCTTTTGTCGATAGAAAATTTCTACGAGGAATGAGAGCGAAAAAACCGAATCCGAAACCGGAAATTTTCTCAGTTATGGCGCCATGAAGTCTCGATAACGACAGTTACATGCATGTATATATATTTTCCATTTAGCGCGATACCTTCCAAGAGAATGGCACGAATTTGACGTTTCTGCGGCCAATGGTTGGGGAGATACACGTTTTCAAAGACATGCATGTAAATTGTGACCTTTGACCTCAAATCATGGCCCCGGGCGTGACCGCAGAGAGTCAGCAATCGGCTCCAAGGCCCTTTCTTGAGGTCCTTTACAACAATTATAAAGCGGAATTTCGATCCAGGGGGGTGGATTTTCATCTTCCCATAGTACCTTAAACTAATTAGAACTAATGCATGTTGAAACTTGTCACAAGAATGCCTGACAGGACTAGCCACATTATCGAGAGAGAGAGGTCAGCAGGCCATTCAATTGCAAAAAAAGTGATCGATGAGGTGTTGGCAAGAGCTTCAAAATACGATCGCTACATCTCTGAACAGCTTACGTAAATTCCTCTTTTTTCCTTGCTTGATTAAAATGTACTGATTTTCATATTTCTTTTCCGACTGTATTTTCGATATTCGAAAATAAAGTTAAAGGAGAAATCTCCTGAACCCAGGGTAGCCCGATATATACATAGCAGGGACCCCGCACTTTCCTGCGCCGGGTCTGTACGTAACAGTCGTAAATTTCTTCTTTATAATAAATGGGTTTTCTACGGCATATGGAAGTTAATAAGAATAATATAAGACTGCATTTCCTAGAACAGACATAACGTTAAGCGCTTGCTGGCCATAATGTGATCCGCAACTGCAGAGAATAAGGATTTTTCTCTTCGTATTCGCATCCAGAAATGGAAGGGAGGAAATGCAGAGGAAACGGGAATACGTCCAACTGCGTCTCCTCCGGGCCAGTCTCCAACACGACTCGGACAACAAGAACGCGACGTCGACTGCGACGACGGACCCACCGCACATCCCTCTCTTGGAGATCCCCTTTGAAGCCTTGGAGCTGAAGCAAATCCTCGGGGAAGGGAACTTCGGCAAGGTCTATTTAGCCATTTACAATATCATCCCCGAAGAAGGGAAAGACCCGGAATCCTGCAAGGTCGCTGTGAGTGTTTTTGTGCCGGAAGATTTCCATATATTTAACATGCGATTAGTGCTACATAGGAGCAATACTGAATTTTCTTGCGATTGTATTAAATATGAAAGACAAGGAGAAGATGTTTGGGAAATATATACGCTCAGAAATGTCGGCTAATACGAGCTTAGTGCTATAGAAGCTATTCATGGTTAAGGAAAAACAACGAAACAAAATAATTGACGTCATTTAAGGAAAACAGCTTGGGTCGATGCTGCCAGAAAGGGTTTTTACCCTATAAATACAAGTCAAACCGAGATTACAGGCCTCAACAAGACCTTTTCTTAATTTAAAGTAACCCTCTTTCGGCTCCTGTTTGTCTCTGGCTCATAAAAATTATTTTATTTTATTCCCCGAACAAGGCATTTATTTGCTTAGTTTTAGTGGCGCTTGGGGTCCGTTCTTGCAGAATGGAAAGACATAGACGTATCTACACTATATGGAACCAATATTCTTTGCAGTTCGAGTATGAATCGGTAAAGAATTTCCTTATTTCATTTCTTAGCACTTGGCCCCACGGAAAAAGAAAAATGAACCGATTTATATATGAGATTTGTACCGCTAAATCGAAACGATTAGGACAGGTAACTGGTGATGAGTGAAGCGTAGGTACGAGTTCATGGCTCTGATGTTGTGCAATACCGGTTCATTTAATGAAGCTCGTGCACTAAAATGCTCATATCTCTGTTGATATTCAAAAACCCAAAATGAAATTTGCAGTGTACATAAAGGAGATCGTGACAAATGATACCCCAACATTTTAACGAAATCGATGATGGGAACTTAGATCCAGGTCAAGTCAAGTTAAAAGATCATTCCGAAACATGTAGGCCAAGGTCATTTCCATATTCACGTATTCATTTTCATTATTGAGGGAGTTATGACAAGTATTGTGATTCCTGGGCCCAAGGTGCCCCAAAACTGTCGAATTTGTGATTCTCTGTCATTCTCAGAAAACATTATGCACGGAGCTGAAATTTACTATAGTTTGTTTTCTCAATAGGTACTATCAGCATGCATAATTGCATAGAAATTGGAGGGGGTTGGGGAAAAAAGTGTGCGGATTGACATGGAATCACCCCTTTGTAGACCCTGGGCAGACCCGCTCATCTGCGTTATGCCCTGATATTGCAGCGCATGGAAAACATGATGAAAGGATACGGAGTCATTTCGGCTTAAGTGTCCTAGTAGATGTGCCACGTCATATCACAGATCTGGATCGTACTGGGTACGTAACTTGCTCAAAAATAAATGGGAGAGGGGACTAAGGTATCTCGAAAGTAGAACAAGAAGAAATAGAAGAATAACTCATAAAACCAAGTAAGTACCTGATGTATAAGCCTCTGAATGCCATAATGCTACGTCGAAGTATGATACATACATGACATTGTCACCGCAACCACGAGAGTCATCGCAGAAGAAATTAGTGGACATTTCTTCCCAGTGAGGGAACGCTGCAATAGAAATGTTATTTTAGGGCCTCGGATTATTTTGAATCTGAGACAAATACTATGAGTCCAGGAAGATGAGTCGCTTCAGGAAATAAAAATCCCTACTATATTATATTAGTGAAACTCTAAATTTTGAAATGTTTGAAATAGAAAGACTTTGTTTTGTTGCTGGGGGAATCTGACTCCAGTGGTGAGCAAAATCAGCTAACGATTTTATTTTGGTAAATATACTGATTATGTATCGTGTGTCAACCAATCAAAACTCTCTCTGATTTGAGACAAAGGATTTTCTCCAATACGTGACTTCTTCTATGACTTGAATTATGAACTTGATTTCCTGATTCATATAGTCATTAGTTTGAATTGAAAGTTTATCATGCCTGCATCCCAAATCACTTCAGGCTCTTCTCATCACTACTGCACAGGTGAAGTTCCCAAAGGAGGGGAGCAGCGAAGAGCAGAAGCAGGATATCCACCGGGAGGCGCAGATGCTGGCGAAGATGCGACATCCCAATATCATCCGACTTCTTGGGATAGTTAGGAGCCAGACGATAGGGATCGTCTCCGAGTTCATGGCACTTGGTGACCTTAACGGCTTACTCAAGTAAATTTCCGGGATGAATTCACGATTGGTCTATTACAAAAAGCTGAGGAAAGTTTTCTCCAAAGTAAAGGAGTTACCATGGGTTACGATGAAAATTTTATGAAATGAAATTTCCTTGCACATTGAGCATAAACCATATGGCCCTCATAAAATATCCACCTGTTGCCACCGGGAGTGCACGACAGGTGGATTACAGGGGGAGATAAGGTGAATTTGAACCATTTATACTTTCTCTTAGCATGACTATCTGATGACCTAACATGCCAATCAGGAGAGAATATCTATTGTTGTGTGCATTCGGAACGTAACGCGTTGATTTCCTCGTGCGTTGAGATGTTTCTAGTTGGAAATCCACCCTGAAGGTGGAAGTTTTGCACGGGGGGAAGCTATCTGGAACCGCGTGATACTTTTCCTCGAAGATCTGCTTGAAAGTCTTGAATTATTTAGGACGCATTTTTCTCAGCAGTTGAATGAACAAATAAAAATGTATTTCCGAAATATGCGGTTTAATAGACAGACTCAGCTTACAAAAAAAAAGAGAGTTAATATTCTGTTTTTATCACTTAGCTCCTACTCATTAATTGCTAGTGTGGAGGAACTTGAAATTTAATAGGATATTTTCTGGAATGAAGCAGAATGAATTTTTTAATAACAAGGCATGAAGCGTCGCTCAGCGTATTTTTCCATAGGACACGAGGCCCGGATTCGAGGATGTTTGGAGGGGAGAGCGGAAGCGAGGCGCAGTTGCGTACACTGGGCATGGAGGACTTGGTGAACGTTGCGATCCAGGTGGGGTCTGGTCTCAAGTACCTCACGGATCGGCACTTCGTCCATCGGGACCTGGCAACGAGGAATTGCTTGGTCGGGGAGAACCTCACGGTCAAGATCGGGGACTTCGGCTTGTCTAGGGAAGTCTATAGCTCTGACTACTACCGGGTTCGTGGCTTAGTCATCTTGTGTTTAAAATTATACGTGTGGTTTTACTGGTGGTGTTACAATCAGTTTTCATTCTTTTTTGAATGAATGAGAAATTGATTCAAAGTCGTCGTCCCAGTCGACGTCGCGTTCTTGTCGTCCGAGTCGTATTCGGGATTGGCCTGGATAAGGCGGAGCTGGACTTCGACCCTTTTCTCTTGCATTCCCTCTCTTTCCGTACTGGATGTGAATGCAAGGAGAAAATTCTTATTCTCCGCTGTTGCTAATTACAGTATCGTCAGCAAGCTTTTCACGTCATGACCGTGGGAGGAAATTCCTTCTCCGCTCTTTTTAATTTTCTGCATATAGGAGAATCTCAGAATATATTTTCTAAATATTTTTTAAATTTCCTTTGCTTCTTTACTTCCTCATGCTGTAGGAAATGCCTCTATGATGCATGGAGTGGGTGCATGGGCACATGCGCCCACATAGTTTCCATCCTGTTAATTTATGGATGTCCGAAAAGGATATATCCACATCCCACCAAATCGATAAGTCACTGCTAGCTAACATTTCAATCTTACATCATTTAATGACTCAGCACAAAATCATCTCATGCATTAAAACAGAAGATCCAGGCACTGACACCAAGGCCGAAGTCAGGCGCCTGATATAGGCTACCTCCTGCACGATGTCTGGCAACACAGGAGAACCGGATCGGGGCCATCGCGCTGAGCCTAAATTAACTGCAGCTAATTTCATTTTCATGGCAAAATGGCGCACTGAAAGCAACGACAATGGCAAATTTCGTCACCAAATGGTCCATTTCTTTCGTGTGGTAGGTCTCTTTCCTCTGAAAACTCCCCAGGAGTGGCTACCCAGGGGAAGAGAAAAAAAAATCATAAATGAAATTCACTCCTTCGAAAAGCGAGATTAATTGATCTCCACAACCCTGGATAGATGGAGTTTCAAATTTTCTGTAGGGATTCTGGGTTAAAAAAGGAAGAATTAAGCTAAATTCCGGTCCTGTCATGTCCTAGGAGAGATATACGAGACGGTTACATTTTGTCGCGGGAAGGGTTTAAAGAAAAATAATAGACACTACCATGTTAATTTTTTATTTTGGTAGGTCGTCTAGCGTTGAAGACGCGATCAAAACGAATATAATAGGGAAGAAATGGACTAGAATGTAAAATTAACAGAAATTCCCTGTTATGACATGATGTCTTGATGAATGTGGAAGGTCTTGGGACCTTCTTAGCCTGACATAAGGATTTCCTCCTCTCAGTCTGACTCAAATCAAATCGATACAATTCCTTTTCCATGACCCATTCTCTTTTCTTCAAACCCTTCAAGTTGAAAATTTTCAACTGTGTTTTCCTTCCCCTCTGCTTTGTAGAGTCACATTTTGGGTGTTTTCGAAGGATTTAGCACTGCTTGAACAAATATTTGTACTTGTAGAGCGAGTACGTGCCCTTGCTATAGTTTCGCTGCACCATTTCGTTGTGAAAAAAATTAGTTTAGTTCATTTTGGCTTATTGTGAGGGTTTCATTACCCTTCCCCACGATTGCCAAATATCGTGCTGGAGTTATGTGGTATTCATGGCAGCTTTTGCTTTTATATCGGGGCCGTATTATTCTTTTTGGCGACAAAAGAGGTAAGGTTTTGGCCAGACTCGAATACAGTCCATGAGTTCCCGAAGACCTAAGAGAGGAGAGAAGGGAGAGAGGGGAATAGAAGAATGGCCTTGGAAAAAAATATTGCTTTCACTGCAACTACATTGCAGTACCTCTCAAATCTTCACTGCATTGTAGCCATACCATATTATTAAATTTGTCATTTTCGCATATATTGGCGGAGTTTACTCATTGTCACTATAGTTTTCATTTCCAAATTCATTGACTCTCTGCAGTTTGGGAACGGGAAGTCGCTACTGCCCCTGAGGTGGATGCCTCCTGAAAGCATCATGTATCGCACTTTCAGTGTCCAATCCGACGTCTGGTCCTTCGGAGTCGTCCTCTGGGAGATCTTCTCGTACGGCAAACAGCCTTGGTTCGGATGCTCCAACGACGAGGTAAACCTGATTCATGTTTGGGTTCGACGGCAAAGTAATATTAATTCGGGATTTGGGGAAGCGATTCGGGCAGAGCTTTGGGGTGAACAGACCGAAGATGGGAAAGCAATATTTCCCGGGAAGGGGAAAATCATTGTTGTCCAGTGGGTCAAAAATGCATTTTCGAAGGTTGTTCCTTAAAATATCTCGAGTTGGTGTGATGAGAAAGGAAGGGTGCTTATAAGAGAGATGTGTATTATGTTCCTAATTAAAAAAATTACAGTTAGGAGATGTGCTTTGAAAATAAATTTTTTGGCGTGAATTTCTTAACCATGATTCACGCCTTCTTTTACTGTGCTCAATGACACATTTGTAAACTCGTTAAATAAAAGCAGCTGTGTTGAGGCAAATGTTTTGAGGAGCCTGATGCAATTTGTTTTTCGGCATTCGAACCTTGCCGTTTCTTCTTTGCATCCTGTACCATATGCTACCCAAATGACCAAATAATTTTTGTGTAATAAACCCATCGAGACATGACTCACTTCACTTTTCATCAGATGGTGGTAAAGAGGAGCAGAAATGTATTACCTTCTTTCTACAAGTAAACCAGTTAAAAGAGAGATTCTTTAGTTGGAACTAATGGGTTTGATGGTGGGTTAAGAAAAAATATTGGAAATCTAATCTTGTTTCCGTTGAGTAGGATTGCCTTTATCGGCATGCTTAAGGGAACATAATTATTTACTTATTTCTTAATAAGTAAATACCCAAGTAGCACACTCACAGTGAATCAACGTAGACTCACCGTCAACCGTCAACCGAGTTAACGTTGAAATCATGTGGGCCTGTCAATATTGATTCTATATTGAAAGTTCATTTTATCAACAATTGAATCAACGTTGACAACAAGGCTATATCAACATCGATTCAATTAATAAAAAAACATTGCAATGTTAAGTCAACGTTTGCTTGTCAACGTTGACTCAATTTTAAACATTCATTTTCCTCAACATTGAAGAGATGTTGAATTCGCGATGTTTCCACGTTGATGAGACTGGTCTCAATAATCTGCTAATTCGTGTGTATGCGTCGTTTCATGACTGCAGTATTATTTGAATATCATCTGGACACGATCTCCATCCTCCGAATTCGCTTTGGAAAGATCCACCTCCAAGGTCAAAGCGTACTTGATACCTAGAAGAAAAAGTATTCGTGTTCCACTGGAAGAAAGAGGACACCGGGGTGAATACGGTGATGTAATAAGAGGCTACCACTTAACCTTCGACAGTGATCATAATTTGGATTAATCCTCGAGGACAGAGCGTCGTGGTCTCATGGAGTAATATTGAGTAATATGGACGCTCCAAGGAAGATGCGGAGACATTTACCACTAATGGAAAATCGAAGATAGTAAAAAAAAAATGCGACTGCGGAGCACCAAGTTGGAGAATACAGCACATTTTCTGTTAAAAAATAAGTGTAAACAAAGAAATAATGGATAAATAAACCTATGTTTGTAAGATATAGGTTTAAATACCTATATCGCCATAGGTAAAAACCAAACGAGAACTCTTACATTGATCGACAGAAAGCACTTAACTTCCAACTTGATGTGCCTTTTTTTCCAGCTCTGGAAAATAAATATTTTATCCTGAAAGACTCACTGTCATATTTTACCTACTAGGTGACATCATTTCTGTTTTTAAATATATAGGCTTCCCTTGGTTAATCAATGAGGACTTCCGAATCATGATAGTTGATGATGCATTATCAGTAAATATGTTGGAGGCATAGTCCGCAGTAAGGCTTAAATCGCTGAACATGACAATACGCATACCCAATCAAATAAAAAGGGCCGCACGGGAGAATACTTTGTAGAGTTTTTGTCGGATCGAGGATCATGTAGACAGACTCAATCTGTGGGACTCGTTGGTTGTCCCAACTTGGAGGTGGGACTACAACGACCACAACCCCCTAGGAGTAACGAGCCAGCCTTTCGAACGGAAGTGTCCCCACTCTCCGTCCCCACCTCCAGTACACAGGTATTGTCTTTCATCAATGTTAAATAAGGAGTCAATGGATGAGACTGTAACTTTCCGCTCCATCCTCCTAGACCTTTATCATTGTGGATCTCCCCAATACTGGTTGTCACAATAAATTATTTATATTACCAAGGTGGATTCTACTGAGTCATTATAACCTCGGACGCGCGGGCGATCTGCTCCTGATAATTTTTAACGTTAATTCACGTTATCGCCGCTTACAAATTACTTGTACAGTTTGCAAAACTATACTGTACTAGCGAGTTTGTTTGCCCTTCGGGCGAACAAACTCGTTATGGTCGCGCCTTCGGCGCTCCATTACCTTGGATAGTGATTAATCATTTATCCTTTGCGAAATGGCAAACACACATTTAAAGTACGTCCCCATTGAAATACGTGACATATGGGGACGAAAGTCTTGATTATTTTATCAAAATCATTATTTCTATGATTTCTAGTGTGTCTAACTGGAAATCTTTTCATGTGTCCCTTTTTGTAACGGTGGAGAATACGTTTCGAATAACTTCCCTCCTATAATCTATGCTAAGGGAACATATTTCAAAATTAGGATTTTTCCTCTACTCAGCCATCAAACAGGTACTTTTGAGGGAAGTTTAAATTTTCTGTCTCTATTTCGTTGGATCAAAAAAAAATCATCGAAATGGGACTGAAAGAAGTGCCCTAATGGGTTTTAACGAAATTTTTTTTCCTTTTGAAATGTAGACTCATGGAACTCCATGTCACCCAGTTTCAGCCTTATACGCTTCCCCTTTTTGCTGGCGGAAAGAATGTATTTGGAAAAGCGACCCAACCAAGAGCTATGCTCTGAGGAGACGTATAAAAAAAGTTTAATTTTTCCTTAAATCAACATCACTTCAGTGATGCGTGCGTCAACTACTTTTCAACGTCTGCCCGGTAAACTACATGCCCATTAAGTGTCAATATTATACGTTTGCCCATTTCACTGGTGGAAAAACATGCTTGGAAAAGCAGACCCACCAAAAAGCCATGCCCAGAGGGGATGCCCCATGAAACCTTAATACTCCCTCACCTCGGTAATATCGTCTTTTATACGTGCGCCAAGTTTCACCTTTCCATTTCTGTCCAATTTGCAACAAATTTTATTTCAAAACATCGTCCCTCGAAAAAATTCCCCCAGGAGATGTATAGAGACTTAACATTTTTATTTAACACTTTCTCTCAGTAGTCACATTCATGCAAAGTTTCAGCTTTTCATGTTCATCAGTTCAACTGATGCAAACAAATTAGTTGAAAACATCTCCCTTTGAATGTTCTTCCCCCAGGGCATTTACTTCTAAAGTCTGAAGCTTTCTGCAGCATCCCAACAGGTAGTTATGTACCAAGTTTCATCTTTCCACACTAGCTCAATACGCTAGGACAAAAAGAAATACTTCAAAATGTCGGCTCACAAAAATATGCATTGAGGGTATGAATCTAAAATTTTTCATTTTTCTTGAACCTATCGTCTCGGTAGGCACGTCCATGCCAAGTTTCAGCTTTCCATGTCTCTCCGTTTTACTCAAGCAAAAATAATGTCATGGTGGGGGAATGAGTAACGGGACATGGAAGGCAAAAAAAAAACAACAAAAGTATGCCAAGGAATGGGCGGGAATTGAAACCGGACCTTCTGATTGCCAGTTAGAGGTACTACTACTACACCACCGAATTCAGGATATCCTATTGCTTCTCTTAATGCCATCCTCATCTGTCACAACATATATTTAAGAAAAACGTTTCCCCAAAAAATTTTTACCACCAGGGCATGCACCTCCAAAGTGGGATTTTTTCTGAACTCTGCATCCCAAACGGTACATGAGTATCAAGTTTCAGATTTCTAACCCTTCTAGGACATGGTTAGAATTAGCGTCAGTCAGTCACGATCGTCTATATATTGATATATTAGATGTATGGTTTACCAAGCAGAAGACAATCTATGAATGTATTAGTGCATTCATGGTTTGAATGCATTTATGGAATCTGGAGTATCTTTTAAAAATCGCCTGAAGTACGAAGAAGTACAGAATGATAGTTTCGATCATTGGAATACTTTAGATAATAGAATGATATAGGCTTCCCATGGTCCCAGGAATATTCCATTTCATGCAATCGACTATTCTTCACATTTAGAATATATTCTTCAGCCAGAGCCAGGAATATAGAAATTAAAAAATATAATGCACATTTTCCCTTCATTCCATTTCAAAAGGTCCTGCGGCTGGTAATCAGCGGGCAGGTGCAACGCTGCCCCGAGAACTGCCCTCGAAGTGTCTACAACATCATGCTGGCGACCTGGAAAACCAGCCCCGAGAACCGTATACCGATAGGGAACGCCCTCGACCTCCTCCACGAGGTGACGAACAACATCAACATTTACCTGGAGATCCAGGCAGGCGTAATGGATCTTGACATCCTGGAGCAGTCCATATCCTGAGAACTTTTGGGAAAAGGTGTATTCATTCTTAAATACGTTGCTGACAAATCCAGGTTTGGAAATCGTTTGATCCGTTAACCTCTCAACTTGTTCTCTCTACTTGTAATTGTTGTTGAAATGTATCACCCGAAGATGTGACGTAAGTTGGCATATTTTCCGGGAAATTCAAAGTATCCATTCAACACAGCAAATTATAAAAGGCTAATTCTGTACTTGAAGAGTACAAAATTTTGTCATGAGTACTATACTCTTCTGGGGTGAACATTTCATTCTGAGGTGGACATTTGAGAAAGAAAAGCATACCCCCAGGTTCCATTGTGCCCCCATGATACTTTTTCTATTCTCTCATGTTTTCACAATAAATGAGCATAAATGCAAAACCTATAGACCAATGTGATCCCTGCATTGCACGAGTTTAGACATTGCATCAATACCCTCGGCATATAAAAATAATGCACCTTGAATAAGACACCCCTATTGAGGAGCGTCATTCTCAACAACTCGTTCAAGATCCTGATGGGTCTTTTTCATACTCAGCATACAATTTGCAAAATTTTAAAATCAATTCCTAATTTGAACATTTTCTGCCATTCGAGAAAGTCAGGTCAAGGTAACAATTAACGGATCGATTTACACACTTTAAGGATTTACGAAATTATACCATTCAAATATGAAAAGCCAATGATCATGAAGAAGCTATAGGCTCCATAGCAACTTTTCCTATGATCAACAAGGGCATTCAAGGACATTTCGTAAAATATCTGAGAGTACCAATTTAGAATGTCCCTCGAATTGACGTTGGTGATGAAAGGTTTGTATTTGAAAACTCATACTTCATTAGCATTCCTTAAAGGCCAGATTATATTCCTTGACACACGGTTGAGTTTTTTCTGCGGTAATGAGCTTATGACAATGAACTCGCTTTTCAAATTCAAGACATGCAGTATTCAACTGTGGCACTGGCGCCTAGTAGCCCGAAGAGTGCTTCCAGAGGGGGAATGCTTCTTTCCACCAGCGAGACCTAATCAATGTAGGCCAAGACCATGCGAACTGATGCGATCAAGAAGGAAAAAGGAAGAAAGCAACAACAAATCTGGGACTAGTCTCCTCCGATGGTCTCTTCTGCACAGAATCGAACGTGCGAATTTCCATTTTTCTGTCATTTCATGCGGAGAAGGGTGTATATTCGACTTAAAGGAGTGAGATCAGATCCTAAAAATTGATGCAAGTGTCGCTTGAAACATTGAACGCACTTGATACTTGCCCATGAGAAAGAATTTGAAACAGTAACGAGGAAGAACATTAATAGAAATCGGTTTATCGAAACGATACAATTTGGTCAATTTTCGCATTTCGATTCATTTTTTTCAAAGAGGAAAAGACATCAACTGGAATTTCGATTCATATCCGTCTCTGTCCGACCGTGGCGGTTCTCCTGAAAAGCCGTCTGCAAAACCGAAAGAAGTCTATAACCGAGACGAGAGGGATGGTTTGAGTAGCCTGGCATCGTCCAGACGCATGTCAACCTCCGTCTTCCACTTGACCGTGTTGAAGAACATAAACCCTTGGGGTAATGCAGTGATTGTTGACGGATTCACACGCGGTCACGTGAAAGCTCCTGCTTCGCTGCAGCATCGCCGAAGGTGTGACGTAAGGCTCTCGTTCGCATTTCCCGGCGCCCACTTACTGAGAACCAATGGTAATCGTGAGTAGACGATGAGGTTGCACCAATCTCAGTTCGATGCTGGAATGAAGATGGCAGCGCACACGAGACGAGCGCTCTTGCTCCTGCTCCTCTACAATTGCCCGCTTCAGGAAACAACATAAACGAAACCTTTGGATGAGAGAGATCGTTGGTGGCCACGTCTGTCATCTGAGCTGAATTTTTGGGAAATTTTGTTTTCTACATTCTCCACTACAGGGGAAGATACGAATTCAATCCGAAAACGGTGTATGCCCAACCCAACGGTCTCATTATCTTAGTCGACACAACCTAATTTTCAGTGTAGGTTTAAACTAAGGTCTTATGTCAACATAGGCCAACGTTAAGCTACTCCTTCCAAAGTAACGCCTTCCCCGGTTCTTTTGATAGTAGGCCAACTTTAACAGGTTTTTGTGTATCCTGTTTGACTAGACGAAGACTAGGCGGGCTACGCCTATCACACAAACTAGTGGTAGACCTGATATCGAAATGACGATTATGATACTTGTGGGAAGGGCATTTTTCAGACCTTAAGTGACGTACACAAACCTAGAGTCAATCGTATAGACTAAGTTGTTTCAGGTTTTCAGAGCTCGTGCTATCCGCCATATCAACTGGCGTTCCTATTGGCTTTCCATATGTACGTCATCAACTCCTCATTGGCTATTCGTAACAAAAGTTTGACTGCCTCGATCTCCTTGCGTGGGTGCGCCGCAGCTGCCCTGTTGACCAAGCTTCCAAGTTCAAAAACCTATGATTTTCCAACACATGGTTCGTCTGACATTGGAGCATTCGTAGCCTATCGCGTAGAATCAATAATTGTTTCTGCACCTTCTATCAATCTTAATCACCTCCCCTTTTGAGATATTCGCCTTTGCATATTTCTATTTGAGCCTTTCAATGAAAAAAAATTTCTTCTTGGACTTTGAGCAGTCATCCGAAGAAAGTAATGTTTCTTCCCTTGGCACTGTGAAAAAAACATTAATGATTTTCTTAAACGTAGATATTAGTACAAGCACCATTTTCCCCACCAAGCCGCCATAACTGGGGTATTCGGAGATGACACAGTCGAGGGAAGCATACGATCGAAACTTCTTCCCATTCTGTTGGCGACCTACAGATCTGTTCTGACGAGAGAAATCCCATTGCCTTCGGATTGAATTCCTATCACCCTCCCCCCAGGGGTGGTGCAGCAGAGAATGGGTAAGGTGTGGAGAACGAGTCCGAAATGCATTACATGCGGAACACATGCACACAGAATCAAAATGGAGCATTTTGGTGGTGAAAAAAATCTGTCCTCCATGTGTTGCGTTTTAATCGCATTGCAAATTGGTTGTGATGAAAACGCATCACATGGAGGACAGATTTTTCACCACCAAAATGCATCAATTTGATGCCCTGAATATTCTGTGTGCACGAACTCAATCCACCCACCATTGTTGATTTCCTAATCCATTCTGCTGGCTGGCCGTTCTGACTTTCAAAGGCTCAAAGGTTAATGACGACCATTAGAGGAATGTCACTTCAGATTATCATAAATTGGAGGAATAATAGTTGCAAAGGGAAGTTTCTCAACGTATGTCTCCCTTTCATGCTCTATCCACTTATAGCCCATCTCCGAAACGTCTGCACGTTTCGTTCCGTTCTTAGTTCCTTTCATGTCAGTTCAAAAGTTATGGATGTAACACCACACAAAAAACGAAATCATATTTGATGTTGTATCTTAAGCATGCTTTTAGTACATGCAAGTACCTATTCCAGTCAAAATGTTCTAATTTCTCCCATAGATGAAAAAAGCCATTCATGTGTTACTGGTGTGTTGTCTAAACCGTTGAGTAAACTACCGTTTAGAGAACGGTTTTTGTTCTGCTGATTCCCCTCCATTTTCCTTTGATTTTGCTTAACATGAGGCTTCCCAATTTTCAGAACAAAAGGCATAGACCATTGACTTTTCTATATGCAAAATCACCCTAGAATAAATAGGCTCAAGTTGAGTCAATCGATCAGTTTGGGTCACTTTGGATCACCATAGGTCACCTTGGAGAGGTCAACGCTAGATATTATGAAAAAAAGACTTTGGGTAAGTCATCATGGGTCGAATTGGTTCATCATGGGTTGCAATGTGTCAACTTGGGACGCCTTGTGCCATTTTGTCCAATTTGGTCACTTTTAAATTTTTGTAAGACTGGCACATACAAGATATCTCTGAAAGAAATGAAGCGAAAGCAGGGCTTAGAACGACTGAAGCATATGAAGGAAAAGGAAAAGGTGGTAACACCCGACAAACTGGACAAGCTAGTCTCTAGGACAGATACTAAAACGGAATGGGAAAGAGCTCAATCACTGGAATAATTTCAAATGCACCGGGTCTGTGTTTAAGTCGCATCAACGCTTCGAGAGCCGCATATATGAGCTGTATACACGGTGGCCCCTGGAACCTGANGGTTTGAGTAGCCTGGCATCGTCCAGACGCATGTCAACCTCCGTCTTCCACTTGACCGTGTTGAAGAACATAAACCCTTGGGGTAATGCAGTGATTGTTGACGGATTCACACGCGGTCACGTGAAAGATCCTGCTTCGCTGCAGCATCGCCGAAGGTGCGACGTAAGACTCTCGTTCGCATTTCCCGGCGCCCACTTACTGAGAACCAATGGTAATCGTGAGTAGACGATGAGGTTGCACCAATCTCAGTTCGATGCTGCAATGAAGATGGCAGCGCACACGAGACGAGCGCTCTTGCTCCTGCTCCTCTACAATTGCCCGCTTCAGGAAACAACATAAACGAAACCTTTGGATGAGAGAGAGATCGGGGGTGGCCACGTCTGTCATCTGATTAAGCTGAATTTTTTGGAAATTTTGTTTTCTACATTCTCCACTACTGGGGAAGATACGAATTCAATCCGAAAACGGTGTATGCCCAACCCAACGGTCTCATTATCTTAGTCGACACAACCTAATTTTGAGTGTAGGTTTAAACTAAGGTCTTATGCCAACATAGGCCAACGTTAAGCTACTCCTTCCAAAGTAACGCCTTCCCCAGTTCTTTTGAAAGTAGGCCAACTTCAACAGGTTTTTGTGTATCCTGTTTGACTAGACGAAGACTAGGTGAGCTACGCCTATCACACAAACTAGTGGTAGACCTGATATCGAAATGACGATCATGATACTTGTGGGAAGGGCATTTTTCAGACCTTAAGTGACGTACACAAACCAAGAGTCAATCGTATAGACTAGGTTGTTTCAGGTTTTCAGAGCTCGTGCTATCCACCATATCAACTGGCGTTCCTATTGGCTTTCCATATTTACGTCATCAACTCCTCATTGCCTATTCGTAACAAAAGTTTGACTGCCTCGATCTCCTTGCGTGGGTGCGCCGCAGCTGCCCTGTTGACCAAACTTCCAAGTTCAAAAACCTATGATTCTCCAACACAAGGTTCGTCTGACATTGGAGCATTCGTAGCCTATCGCCTAGAATCAATAGGTGTTTCTGCACCTTCTATCAATCGTAATCACCTCCCCTTTTGAGATATCCGCCTTTGCAAATTTCTATTTCAGCCTTTCAATGAAAAAAAATTTTTCTTGGACTTTGAGCAGTCACCCGAAGAAAATAATGTTTCTTCCCTTGGCACTGTGAAAAAAAAACATTAATGTTTTTCTTAACACATTGGTGACGGGCCCCGAG